ATGGTGTTGAGTCCTCGCTAGTTAAAGTGAATATAAATGTTCATATAAATAAAAATCAAAATAAATGAATTGTTTTTCAGACATGAAGAAATATTAGAAGAAGAGCTGCAGATCAACAGGCTTAATCTTATTTTATAGYGGAATATCAAATATAAAGACTAAAATGAAGCTCTTTTAAAAAAACTATCTAAATTTATAAATTAAACTATCTGAAGAAGTCCTTAGTTAATGATTCCATAGTAACAAAATGCAACAGACCACATTTAACCAGTCAAGAATAAACTGAAGAACAACTGGATGTTAAAAACACTGCTCTGTGTATTTGRCATAATAAATAGTGCAAATAAAAAATGTTTGACTACTAATAATACAATCAAAACCTCAAAYATTGTGTTTAAAGGAAATTTGGAAGTTATGGTAAAAAACACTCTTACAAAAGTTGGTTATAGACTGAAATTAAAAAGGCTCTGTGCACCATGGGAATTTTGCTGATCTCTGCTGATAAAAATATTATTTAGTGGGGAGGACATGCTTTCATTCATTTTATACYACATTAACTATGGGTTTGATGCTGTACAAGACACAGAGGATTAGTACTGAAGCAGCCAGCAATTTTGGTCCCAAAACCAGATCTCCAAGTCGGGAAACACATCTTGAGCAGCAGCTTTGCTTAAAAGTAACTCCCTATTGCATCCATTAACACCCCCATATAAAAGYTGCACATGAAAACAGGTAATWTACAGAGTATAAACTSCTTTTATTCTTTCTTTTYYTTTTTTTTCTGAATCTTGTCGAAGCTGGTGAGCRCAGATGCTGATGCTGAAACTTTGGYAATCTCCTGACATTAAGCTAAACTGTAAATAAGAACAAAGAAATGTAAATGGGCACGTTATTTTCACTTCATTTATTAKAACATTTTAGAAGTGTTACAGGGGGTTGGTTGTTGTGTGGGATTTTTATTTTTTTTTTCACCTGCTTTGAAGTTTCAGATGTTGTTCTGAAGGTGGTTCCCACACAGGGATTGTCCTCGCCTCTCCCCTTCCCTTCAGACCGACCCACCCCTGCTGTGTCAGCAGCACATGAGCTCTGCACTTCTAAAGCTTCCTGYAATTAACTTCACCTTGTTGCATTACAGGCAAACATGTTCAGACTTATTTTGGATWCATTTGGGAAATAATAGCTTTTTAGAGTCTGCAATGAGGAGCAACTTGGGCTACTAAAATAAACTGTGGTGAGGACTGCGCCTTGTAGTGCTTTTACATGTGGCAAATTCCCTCGGTGTCTTGGTGCTTTCATCAGAAAATAAGGAACATTAATTTCTGTTGTTTTGCATCAGAACTAACATAAGTTTACAATAATGTTTGTGTTTATACTGCATTGTTTGTGTGTGCACCTAGGACGGGATTCAGTTGACATGGTTGCATTTCTGACACAATTTGGGCACCCTGCCTGCACTCCACTGCCTTTGCASAAGGCTTCTGGTCCTCCCTCAGTCCCTTTGTCATGTTTCCAATCCCCATAAAAACATTTCCGACATCCTAGGGCAACTTGAAGTTGCACAAGGCACGCAGGCTTTGGCAGTTGATTCCTGTTCACTCAGAATTATGTAAAMCACGACAGAGTTATTTTAATGCGTGTGAAAAACACCAGCCCAAGATCCTTCAAGCAACAGAGACTCTCATGTTTCATGGCATGACACAATAACTAATAGAGCAAGGGAAAACAGTGAATGTGCAATCATCTGGGTGTTTTTCAACCCTAATGAAATGTAAACACGGTTCACTGCCAGGTAATGAGAGGTTGACTTTGCCTCTGGCCAGCTGGGACGCAGAGCTCAGACATTTCAGAGGAAGAATTTCAGCCTCAACAAAGAAACAGMAAAATACCCACAACAAAACCCAGAGCCATCCAGCCTGAAATCCCAGTGGCTTGTGCCAGGCTGTCACATTGACAGGRTGGTGGTGACACAGCTGGGGTGCCACAGATGATTCCTGCCAGCCTGCAAAGTGGCAACATGGAGCACTGAATCCAGATCCAGGCTCCTCAGAACAGGAAGGACATGGACCTGTGGAAGCAGCTCCAGAGGAGTGACCAGAAATGGTGAGAGGGGTGGAATAGCTGGCATGTGAGGACAGGCTGAGAGAGATAGGAATGCTCAGCCAAGGGAAGAGAAGGTTCTGGAGAGACCCTACAGCATCCACCAGTACCTGAGTGGAGCCACAAGAGAACTGCAGAGGGACATTTGACATGAAGGGATAGGACAAGGGGGAATGGCTTCAAACTGTCACAGGGTAAGTTATATCAGATATTGGGAGGAAACTCTTCACTGCCAGGGTGGTGAGACACTGGCACAGGCTGCTCAGAGAAACTGAGAAGTTTCTCACACACYCTGGAAGTGTTCAAGGCCACGTTGGRTRGYRCTTTGAGCAGCCTGGCCCAGCAAAAGTTGTCCTTGTCCTTGGCAGGGGTTGGACTGGTTGACCTTTGAAGGTCCCTTCCAACCCARACCATCCCAGGATTCTATGATGTCTTGCCTTGTCCCCTGCAAGGTTGAGTGAGGATAAACCATTGCTGCAAGTGAAGCTCTGGGTCAGCCATATACCTTCCCCAAAACACACATTTAATCCTGCTCAGATGGCAAATGCCACACCAAAGCCTCTCAGCCATGCTGTCCAAAGAGCAAACAGAGCAGAAAGACAGGCCTGGATATCTGCAGCTCCTCCTCTCTCCTCTAACCATGATGGGAAACATCAAAACAGTGCTGAAATCTGCCTTTTGGCCTTCCTCAGGGGTATGGATCTTGCTCCCCTTGCTCAGAAAGGGGAAAACAAATCAGCCACTACTGATATGAGTCCTCTGTGTCCATTTTCCCTTTGGAAATCAGGCTTTTCCAAAATACTGCTATTTAATCCTCAATGCCCTGACTTCTTGCTTTGGCAGTGCAAATTCGAACTAGTGTGGCTTGTCCCATCCTCAGACAACCACTCAGGAGACCAGATTCCTACCTTCCTAAAAGGATTATGCCTCTGCAAGTTTAGGAGCCCAAACACATCTCCTTCTGGAAACCATTATTAAATGGGCTGCTCTGAATGTTCATTAGGACTGGCTGAAACTATTACTGTAAAAGAGCTTCCAGCTACAAATTTTCTCAGAGAATAGCTGCTTTCCTTAGAGCAGGCTGGAGGTTTCTTACAGGTGGTGGTGCAGAAGCAGTTAAAGTCTCTCCGTTTATGGCTACTTTCTGGATTTTCTTTTTTAAACGATTAAAAGAAAGTTTTCACATTTCTGTGGCATTTTCTTTAAAAACCTCCGTGAAAGGAACGTCTTCATTAAAGCTGGCCTTGAAACAGCCACTAATGGGAATGCACAATTTTAAGATCCTCCTTTGAGGGACAGATTTACACTCCAAGGCAAACCACATAGGCATTTAAAATGTTTTCAAAACCAGGGCACRGAAAGCTGAGGAATCTCGGCATCTGCGAAAATGTGACTCTGATTTGTAATGTTGAGAACACTTAAAAACAAGGTCTTTGCTAAGGAAACAAAAATGAATTCTGACTCATTGATGTTAAACTGGTATTAAAAGAACCTGGAAGTCACACAACAGCACTGAAGAAGAGAAAGGAGAGAGGGTACAAAGAAGGTACATAAGAATCGAGGAGATTAATAGGTTTAAAGGGGAAAAAAATGTGACAGGTTTAAATATAAATGTACTATGAGATGCTATTCCTGCCTGTTCCCTGACTTTGTAGGTCTTGTTCTGATACATGTCTTGGTAGAAAAGAAAAYGTGCTGAACCTTTTTGATCCATTCAGTCTTAATAGTAAAAGTAATTTTCTCAGGTGGGCACTGAACAGTTGCAATTACAGTTTATTTTGCCAGAGAAATTCTTTTAAGACACTAATGGTATGAGACAGAAGGCAAGGAATGACAGCACAGCATGTCTTCTGTGCTTCATACTGGCAGATTTGCTGAAGACCCAGAGACAACAAATGGTATTTTTCTGCTGAAATCTCAAGGTGGTTTATTTCAAATGCACTTTACCTGGAGGTAATGTAAAAAAAGAAAATATTCTAACTGCGGTCATGCAGCTTTTGCTATTCTCATTCTCAAGATCCATTTAAGCTCGARCACAGTTGTCTTTGGGCTATCAAAACCATAAGAATTTACTTCTATGACACACTAAAGCTTTCACTGTCTATTTTTCAYTCCCATTCACTCCATATTGCTAAAAAACACCCCTTCCTTCACATCCTGCCTAATAATAAGCTTTTTCAAGTAAAAGACCACTTTAAAGGTCTGTCTCTTGTTTGACACAAAGACTGCTTAAGCATCATATCATACATGACATGTTTGTTCTACAGACAGGAACTATAGCAGAAAACTATWTTTTTTTTTAATAGTTATCTGCTTTTAGCCCACTGATGCCACCATATCACAGGATCAGTTAAGTTGGAAAAGGCCTCYGAGATCATCAAGTCCAACCTTTGACCTCTTCTGAAAATCCTGTTGGGTTTGGGATTTCATTTTCTGGGGTAAAAAGGTATTGGTGGTCTGGGATTTTTATTTCCTTTTTTTTTTTTTTTTTTAATTATTTGTTAACTACTTTCAACAATCAAAGGCACCCTGTTTAAAACCCCTTTGTCTTGTTGCCCAAGACACCAGTGGCAGCTGATTTTTTCACTGCTGAAGCAGCTCTTCATAAGCTTCTACACTTAGAAGTGAACTTGGTTTTTTAAAAACACTTTTCACACACCCATTAACAGTATRCTAGAGACCACCATCACAATATGATAAGGGAATTACATGGAAGATATGATAAAATCCATTTTTTTTTTTTTTTAATTGACAAGGCAGCAGCAGAGTTTGAGCTCTTCTATATGGGCAGTTCACAGAAGGTTTCCTTATCGCTGAGGTGTTATTTTGCTTTGGCTTGGTTAAACTTTCCCAACAACTTTGTGATAAACAAAACAATTTTTCCACTACTAAAGGCCACTCACCTGACAGCTCAGGGTCCTTGTATGGGCTGTCTTTTCTTGAGCTGATTTTAGCCTTAAAAAAAAATAAACTAAAAATTAGTTGCCTGGTAATCAGCTAACTACTAACTACATTTTTTTCAGATTTCCTTTATTTTACAGTGACAATGAACAGCTATTCATGCTTCTAGATTAAAATGAAGTGCAGAAGGATGCACATGTGCAGAACAATCCCAGAGGTGTGGGGGTTCTGACAGAAACCACAACTGAAACTCAGAGGTCACTACGGGATTCCAGCCTTTCATTGTTCAKGAAAACCCAGCTTCATGACAAAAAGGGAATGGTTAGGAACCAATGACAAGAACGAGCATGAAAGTCCAAAAGTAAAGTCCATGGAAGGCAGGACGATCAGCACATTTTTTCTCCCAATAAAAGGAAGAAACTCCCCAAGGAAAGACCAAATGCCTCCCAGTGATGACTGCAGGATGCTGAGAGTTCATCCTGAGTCCACCTMTTTTTTTCAGGAAGGCTGAAGCTCCCAGTCTTTGGTTTCAGAGGGTATCTAAAAAGGATTTTTTATTTCCTCTGAAATAGCTGCAGTATAACTGCACTATGATTTTTTTCCCTATATTAATCTGAATTATTAATATATATTATTTTATCTAATATATCAGGCTATTGCATTGCTAAATTAACAGTAATTTCCCTGCTTCATTGTAACTGGGTTCGTCTTTTGCCCATATAAGTTTTTTTTTTATATTAAGCATGAAGACTATATATATATAATATCTATATATATAATATATAGATATTATATATATATATATACATGCACAATTAAAAACAAACACCAAAGTAAACAGATCAAAGAATCATATATTTAAAAGATGCACATCATCCTAATTGACAGACAATATTAGAAAATTAAAAGAGATGTGTGAATACCTATAGTTCTTCAGTCACAATTATATTTACCCTATCAAATCTTTGCAGAAATATTTTTGCAAGTTTGAGCTGTAACATGGAATTTTATTTTATCTGTAAACAACAACAAAAAAAGATATTAAAAAAATAGCAAGATCGTAAAGTTGCTGCAATCTGGCCTAGAAGCATCAAATGAGTTTTCATCATCAGATSTTTTCAACCAGAAAGCGATTTGTGTTTTGTACGAAGTATTTAACTTGATACAGTGAAACTGTGATGAATTTTCAAAAATACATAATACTCATTTTATAGAAGTGCACTTTAAGAGGTAATTTTGTGGAAACACACAYATTCCATCTAAGTTTAGGGAAAAGTGAAACTTAGTGAGGACTTTTTATCTCTTTTTTTGTTGCACTTACTGGGTGTAACAGGCAAGCTTTTGGGGCATACAAGTCCTTCTTTAGACATAAAATAAAAGCRAGAAACTCCAAGCTGAAAATAATTACGATAATTATCTGACCAATTTGAAAGAAAATGGTGGTTATTACCAGCAGAGCAGAGGGAAATATCAACAAGTAAAGCAGTAATTAGTCCAGTGGGTCTGGTGGGACAGAGGGGTCAGGCAGAGGTGCCACCTGGAGAGAAAGGCCAGATACCAGGGAGCCACTATCTCGATGGCTTTTAATGTCAAGTACAGCTGTGAATGTTAGCTATGAATATATTTATTTTTGGTAGCTATTCCATAAGGATCAGGGCAGAAAGATCAGAAATGCAGTCTTCCTTTGCTGAGATGCTGTTCTTCTGGCAAGTAGACACATTTTACTTTCATAAATTAGTTCTAGAAGGTCAAGCTACTGGCTATCTGAGTTTCTTCATGAAGTATCCACAGGGGGCTTTTGGTGGAGTGTAAGAAAATTTATTTCTGATAGCTTTGCTCTGAGAGACATCTAATGCTTGGGWAATTATGCCAGAGGTTTTGCATATTTTCAGGCTGGTATCACTTGGTGGAYGTTCACCTCTGACACACCTCTTTACACAAGGTTAGTAAGTCACTTCAACACAAAGTAGAAGGGCTTGAATCATGCCAAGGGTTCCTGTTATGCTTCAAAWAACTGCCAGTTTTGTTAAGGTAAATATACTGCCCCTACTTATAGTAGATGGTGTTCTTTCTGCTTCATGAGACTCAGCAACACCTTGAAAACTTTCCACAGACAGTTGAGGGTGTTACACTTGCTTAGCTGATGTTCTTAAGATAATTGTTCTAGAATTAAAGCCACAAATCTATTTTAGAATCTGATGATTTTTAAAAGATCAAAAAAACACCACCCCCCAATCTGCCTTACAGAGGATTAARTMTATTCAAAATGAAAARCATTTTGAATAAGGAGATTGTCCCTTTGAAAATTGTTTTAAATATCCCATGTATTCAGCKGTTTTCTTTTTAATTCAGAATATTYAAAACTTACATTTTTGCATTAGCATTCCCATCAAAAGCTTTATCAGAAATTCTCATAACAACCCTATTAGTAACACATATGCAATCATCATCACGCTTTATTTAATTGGGACAGATACAAGAGTCATAGCTGAGAGTTTCAAGCTAAATTACATTTTTGATTGAGTTACTTGAGTGGCAAACTTCCATTAGTCAGTTATATACTGCATGCTGTGTTAGCACTCTCAGAAAAGCAAGAACTTCATTCTGCATTGCT